ACAAATCAAACCAAATCAAACCAAATCAAATCGAAACAAAGCAAAACATATTTAAATAATAATACAGAAAATATACAAAAATAAGAGCAATAACGAAAATTATATTAAAAAATCAGAGAAAAAAGTATAAAAAGTTTAGTTTACATTTGCGTGTGAATACGTAATTTTGAAAAATCCAATCCATTCCAATTCAAACCCCGAATGTTAATAGCCACATCCATTCATATGTCGAGCTGCGGCTATTGAGCCAATTCAGACACAAAATAATAGATGTCTTTTATTAGTAACAAAACCCAAAAATTATTTGGTAATACTTTGACTAAAATTTGATCAAATCACTCAGTGCTACAAAAGATGAGTTCGAGGTGAAAGTTATTGAATAACACCAGAAGTACACAAAGCACATCGAAACTTCATCGTTTCATTGAAGTAATGCAAATGCAAATGCAAATGCCAATTCAGATACAATACACACTCATACTCGGACTCGAATTAAACTTAAATCGTCAATCCATTAAAAACAAACCATCCTCAAAACAATACACTTGTGCTTCATCTGTCACAAATTTAATGTTAAAATATAAAATCCATTTAATAAATAAAATTTGTTTGCGAAACAAGCGATGCCATGTTTACTGCATTATCTTCCATCGGACAAAGAAAATTTGATATTCAATCACAAATTAATAGATTCACAAACAATCGACAATATCGATAAACACATCACTTTAATCGGTTAATATCAATTCAAACCGATAATGACCCTTTTTCGCAATAGAAACCGTTCAGTAGTGAAACTAATTTATACCTCAATTAGCCAAGTTAAGTGATTGGGTATTAAGACCTATTCACTCCATACTAAATGTAATATAGGACTTATGTATATAATATATAGATATATATATATACAAAAATTATATACGGACTATAAAGTAATAAAAAAATTCGTTTATTTCCTAAGACCACTGATGATGAGTACTTGGCAATACTTGAAACAGCGTTGTATGGACAGCCTAATTTCAATGAATTAAAACAAATTTTTGTCCTTGTCATTTGTTTACTATTCAAATCCGTCTAACTTTTAAGTAGTTTCTTTTCTTCATAAAGACGCGCTACTATCGGCATGTAAAAATTAACATTAAAAATTTTCTTTATTGAAAATAAATTTTAATCCTACCTATTGACCATTATTTTTCGGTTAGCTTAAGAATTTTATCGATGTAGAACTTCTGTGGTTTCTCAACCTAAAATTTGGCCAAGTGATTTTCAACAACTCTTCGACCGGTCAAAAGAGTATTGCAGACATTAGATCGAGTTAGATGGAAGTCAGACGGTGCATGATGGTGAATACATCAGAACAATCCAAACAAGTACTACCGATTTTTTCTGAATTATCAAAGATGTGTGTGGTCTTGCATTGTCATGATGGAAGCTAATTCTAGTCAGTTTCCATAATTGTTTCATTCAAGCTTCTAAACTCTTCCAATGTTTAATTTTATTTTCATTCTTACATAATATTGTTCTTAGCTATGTCTGACCCGTTGTTTTTGATTGACCTTTTGCTCAGGATTCGCATTGCAATATATATAGAATTTGCCTAAACATTTTGTTGTGATAACATACGACTTAGGTTTATCAAAAATTATATGTATTATAACCACTTTTTCAAGTTCTGAACGGGATCATTTTCTGTATATAGGTCTAGCTAAGATCGGATTTGTTTAAAAAGCATTCTGTTTACTTCCAATCGCCAGTACGCGAAAATGAGAGCTTGTTTTCTATGGATACAACGCATTGGATAAGTGTTCTATATATGACATAATTTTCACAATACCCACTTCAGTTAAAAAATATTTAAATATATTACTTGTTCTTTAGTAACGACAAAAAAAAACAATTTGAAAAGTTAAAGATTCGACTCTTTGTGATCCTTTACGTTATCGTGTACCTATCTTTAGTATTATATCTATATATTTCATTTAGAAGTTAGATCTCATGATGTCTGCTGCATATTCTTCAGCTATAACTTTAATAGTTTTGAATTAGTGGCCTGTTTTGTTCTTAGTCTATTAAATTACTTATTTTGCTTATGTACCAGTCGTTGTTTTGTATATATTATAATATTTAATCATCTTTTCTACCTCTCATTTCCAATTTAAACACAGTATTATCATAAACATTTTTTGTTTTACAAGATATGATTTAAATTGCTTTCAATCATATTTTTCTGACAATCTTCAATCAATATTATGGTGTATATATTTTATACAGAACAAATCGAATCTTAGGTCTTCATCTTTTTTCTATATCTTATCTTAGGTCCTCATCATTTATGATATACTGTACTAACTAATAAATCTTTATAAATGACTGCTAGTGAAATAAGCAGTCACGTATTTCTCCATATGTATTTCGAGTTTGTCTGAACAATCAAAATTGCTATCAGTGTCACTATATATAACCTTTATTAAGAATAACGTAATATTTATTGATATATCTCTTACACTATAGTTATAAATAATACCCCCATACACTAGTTTAACACCATACAATATCAATAACAGAATGCAATACAGAATTATGGAGCTCTTGATTTTATATATACCGGGTGTAAAGCCTTAACTGCTATTTGCTTATTAGTAAAGTATCTACTACCAGTTTCTGATATACCTATGTGTGCCTTTGTAATATGTAATGTATCAGCTGCACAATGATCACAGTGCACTTGTAGTGATAATAAACTTTCGTAAGACATTGAACATAAAAATTTAATACCCAATTTTCTTCAAATTTCTCCAAACAGACTTTCAACTTCTGCGATTTTATTGCTCAAATTCTAATCAACGTACTTGGGCAGTTTCTTTAGGTTTCATTGAAGGAATTATGGCGTTATGGCGTTTGAAAGTATTTTACCTTCGCAATTAACAATTATTTTTAGCAATTAAAAAATGTATTAAACCGGAGCTCTTACCGACTCACACTTGTATATATGTCAATTACAAAGGCTGAATACTGAATACTTGTAGTCATTAAAAGAATAAAAATTTTGTTCTAATTTTTATTAAACTGCATCTCATTGTCTTTAATTATAGTTACTATTGTAGAAGTAATACCTATCTAAATATACACATAATGATTCAGTATTATAGTACCAGGTATTTTTCACTTCTGTTACTAATTCACAATTGTTATTGTTTTATGAGTTCAATTTTTCTAAACTTTTATGACCGATTGGAATATATATTAACTCAAAGGTTTATTAAGCTAAATTTCCTATTATGGGTCACTTTTTGTTAAAATTAAAATTCAACGTTTAATTAATATTTTTTAATATATTCTATATTTCAACTGTCCTGAAGAGTCATCGTCAGGATAAAGAGCGAATATAAATTAATATTAATGAATATTTCACTCTCCTTAAAAGTCATCATCAGGATAAGGATCGAATTTAAATTAATATTATTGAAATCTATATCTAAGCGTCATTCTCTTTTCTCCATTGTTTTCTCTATTACTTATTTTAACTTTTATATATCATGATTTTGAATCGAAATTAGAGTGAAATTAGTGCGAAAACGATCAATAACTGCAGGAATTGCTTGCTTACTAGGCCGATTTTGTTGACCCTAAAATAGACGAAGTGCTCTATGAACTTTGAGACCAGATTTTTTTTTTATATAGTTAAGTTTCCACGATTTGGAAGCGTTAAACGATTCATGATGAATTCCCAAACCTTACTGAAGACAAATGTCAACACAATTTGACATTCTCAGCTGTCAAACCATAGTTATCGATACCGATAGTTCTTATGCAGCTAGAAAAACACCAGATATTTAAAAATGGCGAGTAGATAGTGGTTGAAGAATACAGTACAATATCAAGGGTATTCTCGTAGCTTAAAAGCCACCAGTGAAGCAGAGAACTTTGATTTTGATACGAATAGATCTTTGAAACTGCAAGTTTCCTAATACGAGTATGTCCTTTGTTTAAAATATCCCAATTTCAACTTTAAAATTTCTTTATAGTCAATTTCTTCACGTAGAGATTAATTGCAATGTTACACTATTAATGACATATTTTGAATTATTATCTAATTTTTAAACAGAGTCTTAATTGTAGATCTTCAAATTTTGTAAGAAGTCAGAAGTAATTAAAAGTTCAAGGTAGAGAAAAATTGGCCAAGGTAAAATAAATAATAAAAAAAAATTTAGAGAACTATAGACTATTATTTAAAGCTAGAGTGCACAGTCACCTGAATGTATCTATTGTACATAATCGTGATCCATTCAGAGTTTTCGACGTTCATTTCATAAAAATGATAGACAACAAAGTTGGAGAGCTCCAACTAATGTATGTAATATCACATATTGCAATGATCTCTAAAGTAACCAGATTCTCAAGTGTGCCCAGCGAGCGTGTATTAGTTGATATTATCTTTGCCGGGATAGGAACTTGTTTTGCTTGATGTTGGTCTATACTATTAAACCAGTGATATGCAAATTTTATCATCACCCATTATCTGATTACTTCATTTAATTGACTTTATCAAGTTTATAGAACGGTTCAGACGCAATTGGAGGCATATTTGACGCTTTTGTAGTTAAAACATTTTATGGATTTCGTGTTTAATTGCTTTCTGGGATTCTCATTTTAAGACTACAGTATTGATGTTCATTTTCGTATTAGGTTGAGGAAATCATTTACAATTTTCGAGGTTTCGATTACAGTCTGGAGCGCTTTTTATGCCATCTAACTATTCGATAATATGTAACTGTGGCTTTCTTACATATTGGTTCGAAGACATTCTCTCGCACATATTTGACTAACATGTATGTCTGTCTGAATAATTGTTGGACAGACAAAATCAGTTTACTAGTCCTATAAACTAAGGCTTACCATTTTCTATTGAATTTTAAAGAACCTATTAGATATATATATATATATAAATATATGTATATATATTATATGTTATTAAAATGTTAATACATGATTGATAAGTTATGGCTTCCTTTAAATTGGCTATTTGTACTAGTATATGCAGATACTTTCCCTTAAAGCCATTTAAAAAGAGTAAGACAGCAAAAAAAAACAACCTCAATAGTTTCTGAGATTTCTCTATTGGCTTGTAAAAAATAAATAATGCAATATTCACAAAAAATATGTTTGTAAAAAATGTTGTACATAAAAAAAATGTACGGACATATCCGCATCTAAATAATAGATATTTGTGTGTTTGTAGTTCCATGTCACTTTGATCGCATTTCAAAAGTTCGTCTCTCACTGCGTATCTGCAACAAATCTAAAGTATGCAAAACAATAAAACCAACTGCGATTTAAAACAATAAAACAAACGCTAATGCCCAATTTGGCCCGTATCCACACATCCAACTAACCTAAGTAAGCCAAGTCTTCCAACTCTCAGTCAGAAGAAGATGGATTCGGATTCAGTTAATTATGTCATGAGGGTGGGAAAAATTATGAAAAAGCTGTTCGCTCCTCAGACTACAGTGCAGTTGCAGTTGCAGTTGCATTTCTGCTGCAGTGGCAGTTGCCACGGAATGCAATATTGTATTGTTGGTTGTAAAAGTGTTGCTAAATAAGAAGGCATCAAATATGTTGTTAGCTGCAGTGCTGGTGCTGTAGTTGCCAACAATGCGCAGTAATTTCAGCAATAAAGTACGATTTATTGTGGGCAAAGGGAAAAGCAAAAAGCATGCAGTTAATAACGCCACTTTGCGCAGACACGGATGGACCGAAAGTCAGGCAGACAGGCAGACAGCCGGGCAGGCAGGCAGACGAACGCGCTAAGATATTTTATTCTATAAACAAAGAAAGTTGCACTTCTTTGACTTTTATTAATTAATAATTTCTACAGTCGCGGGAGCAGTGGCGTAGAAGGGCTATGAGTCTTTTTAAAAAATTAATTCTATGAAATTTCTTTGGTTTTTGGTAATAGTTGGAATATTACAATTTTAAAGTAAAACCAAAAAAAGTTTTGGTATTGTTTTAAATAAAATATATAATAAAAATATATATTAATATATAATTTTTCAATTTTGCAAAGAAAAGGTTCGACTTATGGAGACTTCGAGTTAGAGATTTTGAAAGAAACTAGAATTATATTAAAAGACATTTATTTATTTATTTAAAATTAAATAGAGCACAGAAGTTATAGTGAAGCAAAATAATTACAAATTGGTTTTGGGATTTTAATTTTTTTTTTGTTATTTTCAGTAAAAAGATATTCCATTTTATTTAAAGCCTTATAGTGATCATCAGTTGTAGTATCATTCTTTTGCAAATATAAATTCAGAATATCGCATGAGTCTTCTACTTCATTATTGAAAGGCTGATAAACAATCACATCCACGGAACCCTCATCATCCCTTTGCGTTGCGCTTAGAATGGGATCCAGTAATTTAGAGCTATAGTGTTCAACAATATCGTCATCTGTAGGAAAGCTTGATTTTCTAATTTCATTGTCAAGTTCAATATAATCGTTGAGAGTAGCATTAGAAGTTATTTTATTTACTTTAAACCACGCTGCCAGCGACTGGCATTTACACAAAGAAGCAATATAAGAAAAGAAAAAAAAACATTTGGTTTGGAAAAAGGGACTTCACCAATTGTGAATTCATACTAAATACTCATAGAATGCATTTTCCCACTTTCCTATCGGCACGGAACAACATTTTTGTTCAAGTTATAGAGAAATTCGAGTTATAGAAGTTCGATTTGTGGAAGCAGAATTGTGTGTAATTTGCTCTCTAAAACCTTGGTGCACTGTTTTTGGTTCGAGTTACAGAAAATTCGAAGTTTGACTGTATATGACTGTATATATATAGTATAATACAATAAAATATTTAAAACGCAGTATTATCCATATACGCTGTAGAGAAGTAGGTGTTTTCTCTCTCCCCCGATTACTGGAATAAAATTTTCACAATGCTGTGGAAATTTTCTCCATTCATTCCTAAGAGGTGGTTTAGTGGGTGCGAGTCTCACACGATGGTGTAGAAAAGAGGATACTGGCCTAAAAACTTGATCAATTATTTAAAAGATGAAAGTAATTTCTGCAGGGTTCAGAGTTTTTGCTTGTGTGTCTTATAACTCAATATTTGTTATATTTATGTGTCCAAATCTGTTTTCAGCTGAACTTTGAGATTTTAGTTGAAGGACAAGACTTTTACTAGTCGTGTCAATTTTCGTTGCCATCAATACTTATCTTTCTCGGTGTTTTATATTAAAACCATTGTAACAATTCTACTTATATCCAGTATATTTTGTGTATGCTCGATACTTTCTTCAGCAAAAGTCTTTGAATAACTGAACATGTTACTTAGAACAGCTGTATAAAACCAAATATTAACCACGCCACTGTGCCATGTTGCACTTGCTTCATTCACTTTGTGGCTTGTTGCATATTAAATTTTAGAAAGACTCCGATAAAATGGAATGGCACTGCAAGTGTTGCAAATTTTTCGCACGGTGTCGAGTTAATAATTTAATTTTTATTGTTTGCAGATCAGATACTTTTTCGTAGCTACTCCCTTTTCTGTAGCTTGCATACTTAAATATTGTAATTATCAAATCAAAAAGTCAACAATTTGTCGCACCGCCATGTTGCCGTGGAATGGGTGCATAGTGCATTTATCTAAACAGGATGTTGCAGCAAAAGTTGCAACAATCGCGATCGCATTTCTCGCTTTCAATTTTTGTAGTTATTGTAGTTTTTTTTTTTTTTTGGTTAAATTGTTAGTTTAATATTTCTACTTACAGCCAATACGAGTTGCGCTTTTCACACTTCAGACGGCATAGCCGCCGAAAGTGAAGGTGTACGATTCATACGCCTACGTGAGGACGCAGAAGTGGGCAAGGAAATACTTATATTGAATGCATACCCACGCACAAAGATAGCGCTGATGGGATCCGAGGGCAGTGGTGATCACAAGTACTTTGGACTGCAGGAGATAAATGCAACTACCATTGGAATTATGCTTTCACACTCTTTGGAGGATTTAGTAGATAGTGAGGTGCCAAAAAATTTATTAAAATTTCGCGTTCTCTGTGCGGGAAAAGGAGAAAAACTTGAGGAGGTACGTGATAGACTATAACAAAAACCAATTATTCATTTTTCATTGTTTTATATACTTTATATTTTAAATTTGGCATTCGCAGGGTAGCTATTTATCGATTACTGTTTATATAGAAGATGTAAACGATAATGTGCCAGAATTTCTAAATACACCCTATACTATTAATATTAATGAGAACACACCAATCGGTACTGTGATTTTTGAAGGCATACAAGCAATCGATCATGACAAGCCAAACACGCCAAACTCTGATGTGCATTTCAGCATATCGACTGTGGCAGATCAGTTATCCGCTGATGGCAGTCCATACTTTGCACTGAAAGGTCCACATCGTCCATTATTAGTACTGAAAAAGGAACTTGACTTCGATTATGGAATTCGAAGTTTTAAATTGCCACTCTTTGCTTGGGATAGAGGCACACCAGTGAATCAAGCGAATACGACAATTACAATAAATGTGCTGGACATTGATGATCTTCCACCAAAGTTTACTGAAGGCGTTTACCGGACTAAGATCAATGAATTTTTTCCATTAACGGTGCAATTTGTAAATCTCTAAAGCGTTCGTTTTTTAATCATTATATAATTTTAGGGAAAACCAATACGAATGCCACTCTACTTTTCACCACCCATAATGGCTTACGATCAGGATTCGTTAAATGCAACTTTGATTTATGATATCATATCAGGAAATGAAAGGAAAATCTTTCGCGTAAGTCCACATAATGGAGTTGTTTGGATACAAAAAGAAATCGATCTAGAAGAAGAAAGCTTACCGGGCAACACATTTGTTTTACAAATCGAAGCACGACAGCGTGATAATCCTCTACAAAAAGCCGTAGCCAGGTAACACCTATCCATAAGAAAATCAAAAATAGTCTATTAATCTTCATTCTCTAGAATTGAAGTTGAAATACTTGACTTAAATGACAATATGCCAGAATTTGAAGCGGACTTCTACAATATATCAATTGTGGAGAATTTACCTACCAGTTTCAGTGTTTTGCAAGTAAATGCTATTGATCGCGATCAGGGGGAAAATGCCGAATTTCTTTACAATTTAATTGAAGAAGAAGTTTCTAGAGGTGCTTTTCGTATTGATTCCCGTAATGGTTGGATAACAGTGCGTGATGATCGCTTACTTGATCGTGAGCAACGCAAAGCAATACGTCTAGTCGTAGAAGCTATTGAACGAAATCCACCCTACATAGGCGATAGGAATTTCAGAAGAAGCATACCTAACTCAGTTAAAGTAATGATCACACTGTTGGATACAAATGATAATACACCAAAATTCGAACGTGGTAATTTGTATGAATTTAAAGTGCCCATTACTGCACCGGTTGGCTACAAAATCGGAGAAGTAGTAGCTCTGGATCCAGATGATGGCCCAAATGGCATGCTGACGTATGAACTGCAACGACCTAAAGGCAGTGGTTATATACCATTTCATTTGGATAGTAAAAATGGCAGCATACATGTTAGTGGACCGTTACGCAGAGGTCGTATTGCCGTATTTGTTGAAGCAAGTGATCAGGTGAGAAATATGGGTATTGAAAATGCTGAAAACTTTGGATAAATGTTACTCTAATTATAATTAAGCTATAATTTTAATACACACTTTTTTTTTGTTTTGAACTAAACTGCCTTAATGCAGCCTACAAATCCATCAGAGCGCCGTTTTACCTTAGCAGTAATAACGATTGAAGTTTACGCTACGATTGACGATCAAGCAATAGATTTTGTAGGTGCACCTTACGAATTTTGGGTTGGCTCAGATGCAGGATTAGGTACTTCAGTGGGTCAAGTTCGGACAACTCTCATTTATGATGGAGAGGATGAAATTATGTATGATCTTCTACACACATACTCAGAAGGTGTGCCATTTGCAATTGAAGAGCGATCTGGTATTATAACGGTTATACGTGAACTGTCGGAATTCAAAAGAAAAGTTTATCACTTTGAGGCAGTTGCGAACTACGTGAGTAAATATTTCATACATTTCTTATAAAAAAAACAAAGTCAAATGGATTTCTTTTACACAGATGTTTGCAAATTCATCTCAACCACTGCCGATGCCTCGCAGCGCACAGCCAAAGGCACTAGAACTTACTGATGAAGGTGTTCTCATAACCAATGTCACCATACACGTAGTACCGAAACCAGATAATAGAGTTAATCTGCGGCCTGTTATAGAGTAAGTATCGCAACTACATTTGAGGAAAAAGACTTAGAAATTTTATTGCAGAGAAATCAATATGAATGCAATTACATTTCACATCGAAGAGAATCTAGTGGGTGGCAAAATTGGTCAGCTACTTTATAAGAACGGCGTTAATGTGGTAAACAACGACTTGGGTTCGTACAGAGAACTGAAACACAAGAATAACGTCACTATTGGCAGTAAATTTCGTAGTAATAACCCGCGTCTTTTCAATAGAAAGCGTCTTCCTCGTAGACTTGTAGGCGATTCCAATGTAAAGCTACGCTACATCATTGCAAATCAACAAGAAGTTGTAAACAAAATTTCTATCACCGAGGATGGAACGCTTATAACACTTATGGGACTCGATCGTGAACAACAACCTAAATATGATCTCACTGTGATTGTGGAGTACTCCACAGGACTTGTAAGTGGAGCTGGTATTTATCAGGTGCATGTGAAAGTCGACGATGTGAATGATAATGCGCCCAAGTTTAACGCGTTGACTTATGTTGGTTTAATTAATGAGAATAGTGCAAGTGGCAGTGAAGTTTCCACCAACCAAGTAATACTCGCGAATGATGCTGATGAAGGACGCAATGCTGAGTTTCGGGTTGTACTGCAAGGGGAATATAGTGAACAGTTTAGCATTGAATACATCAACGATACTTCAGAAGTACTTAATAAGAGCCATTACAATTCGCGTCTCACCAATGCTGAGACATTTAACATTTTTAATTTAACTGATCAGTGGAATGAAGAGATAAAATTTGTGGAAATGCAAACTATGCTTATGGAGCCTAGAATGAAAACCGATGTTGGTCCACATTTCCGAATTAAGTACACAGGCAAACGTCAATTGGACCGAGAAAAAGATCAACTCTACAATCTTAAAATTGTAGCAGTTGATACCGGCGGTTTATCGACGCAGGCCAATTTGAATATCTTGATTGCTGATGTCAACGATAATGCACCAATATTCGAACGAATTTCAGTATTTAAGGACTCCAAAATAGAAATAAGAGAATACACCACTGACATGGAAATTTACTTTGTCGAGAGTTCGTTCCCACAATTACAGTCAGTACCATCTTCGATTGTTATACCGCCTTATCAAATCCCAGGCTCACCGAGGTACAATAAAGATAGCACATTTAATGCTACTTATATGGGAGCAACGGGTCAAAAGCCACGAGCAAGAACGCGTATAGCAAAGAAGAGCCGATCGCCTCGTGCACCTTATCAAAAGGCTGGTATAGTCAAATGCCCTTTATTTGCCGTATACGAAAATATACCGCTAAACACGAAAGTACTGCAGGTTATTGCCAGTGATGAGGATTTTGGCAAGAACGCTCAAGTGCATTATGAAGTTTTGGCAGAACATATGGACCGCTCAATTGGCTCTGGTATGTTACCGAAGGTATACGGAGCAAAGTATTTTACTATTGACAAACTAACTGGTGAGCTGCAGGTCAACTATCCTTTAATGGCAAATGCGGAGATTTTCTTGAATTTGACTGCCACGGATATTGATGGACTAAAGGATACAACCTGTATACGTTTTACTGTGATTGATGTGAATAACCATGCACCTACATTTAAAAAATCATGGTACAGTTTCGATGTGCAAGAAGGTGAATACAACAATAGCGTACTTGGTCAAGTGTTAGCAGTTGACCTCGACTACGGAGAAAATGCAAACGTATCTTACAGCTTAAGTGAACTGGACTTGCCTTTCAAAATTAAAACACTTTCTGGAGTCATCAAAATTATGGGCACACTAGATCGCGAAGTTCGTGCCAAATATAATTTTCAGGTAATTGCAATGGACAATGCAGAACCGCTGTACAGAATGTCCAGTACCGTTGAAGTGGAAGTGAATGTACTCGACCTTAACGACAATAAACCAGAATTTGTGGGCTATGACGATATGACAAATGCAGCGCAATACATAACAGATCTTTCAGATAAAACAATTATGGTGCCCATATATAAAGCGTATCTCGATCGTAGTACTACACAAGGCATGTTTGTTAAGCAAGTGTCAGCAATAGATAAAGATTACGTGGGTAATGGCAACGGCTTAGTGCTGTATTCCATTCAACATCAAGATCTGCACACCCCCATATTTCAGATCGATTCACGTGACGGTACAATATCCACTATAGCAAATTTCAAAAGCTACAATGAGTACGAACACTTAAACGTTACCGTTGTGGCATCCGATTTAGGTAGCCCACCACGCTCTTCAACTGCAGTCGTGCTTATAAACCTACAAGGGCAAGCTGTCACAGAACCAAATGCCAAGCCAATTGAAGTAGTTGAATCGCAAAATATTTCCGTCTTCCAACACCAGTACTACGAGGTAAAAATGCTGGAAAACAATGATGCACCTGTGGAAATATTAATTGTTAATTTAACTAAAGATATCGATGTCGATGCTTACCATTGGACGTTATTGATGGAAGTGGGTGCAGATGCTGAAGATGTGCATCCGCCATTTGAGTTCGAGGCCAAAACAGGTGCATTGTATGCACTCAAATCATTCGATAGAGAAACTAAAGAACTGTATCAACTACGAATTCGCGCCGAAAAGTCTAATCGAGAGGCACGTACTTATGCGCAAATTTCCTATCCTGTTTTGGATGAACGTATTCAAGGATTAGAGCAAAATGAATGTAGAGTGGTTGTGAACATATTAGAT